TTCACGCATATGCACGCTTGTCACTAAACTTGAGTTGAGTGTTATTGGCTTTGAGCACATCAAAGACTTGTATGCTAATGATCCATCTTTTGCTACTCCTTATGCTAAATGTTTGATGCATGCATCTTGGGAACGATATTACATCAAGGATGATTGTCTTATGAGAGCTAACAAACTTTGCATTCCCGAGTCTTCTCTTTGTTTGCTCCTTTTGCAAGAGGCTCATGGAGGCGGACTCATGGGACACTTTGGACGCGACAAGACATTCGCCACGCACTCCAAGAACTACTTTTGGCCCAAGATGTTCCGCGACGTCTCACGCTTCACCAACCGATGCTCTACATGTCGTAAAGCTAAGTCTAAAGCTCAATCCCATGGTCTTTACATGCCTCTTCCTATCCCTTATCAACCTTGGGAAGACATTAGCATGGATTTTGTACTTGGTTTGCCTAGAACTCAAAACGGCAAGGATTCTGTCTTTGTTGTTGTGGATCAATTTTCTAAGATGGCACATTTCATTCCTTGCAACAAGATAGACGATGCTTCACATGTTGCCAATCTCTTTTGTAGGGAAATATTGCGACTCCATGGAGTACCAAAGACAATCGTCTCCGACCACGATGTCAAGTTCTTGAGTTACTTTTGGAAGACGCTATGCACCAAGCTCGGAATCAAGCTCTTGTTCTCATCCGCATACCATCCTCAAACCGACGGCCAAACGGAGGTGACGAACCATACTCTCTCCACTCTACTTTGTGTGTTGATCAAGAAGAACATCAAGGAGTGGGAGGCATGTCTACCCATCACCGAGTACGCCTACAACCGTGCAAGACATTTGACTACCGGCAAGTCCCCCTTCGAGGTCATCTACAGCTTCAACCCGTTGTCCCCATTGGACATTCTACCTCTTCCACTACAAGAGAGCACCAACATGGATGCGAGTGCACGTGCAAGCTACATCAAGAAGATGCATGAGGATACAAGGCACACCATCAAGCGCCAAGTACAACGACTAGCGACCAAGCTCAACATCAACAAGCAACCCATGATATTCAACATTGGAGATCTCGTGTGGCTACACCTTTGCAAGGACCGCTTCCCCAACGAACGCAAGTCCAAACTTCTACCTTGAGCCGATGGACCCTTCAAGGTGCTAGCACGCTACAACAACAACGCTTACAAGATCGATCTCCCACGCGACAAGTACAACATGAGCAACATCTTCAACGTCAACGATCTCTCCCTGTACCATGGTGAGGAGGATTTCGATCCGAGGTAGGATCTTTCCCAGGGGGGGGAGATGATGCGGATCATCCCACGATCATCCCCATGGATGCATCTACATCTCCTACAACACCACTTGGACCTATGACTAGAGCACGTGCAAGAGCTCTCGAAACCGAGGTGACATCACTCCTCTCACAACTCCCTTTCGATTCACACGAGACATGGCTACTACCTCAAACGGAGACGCTTTGCATACTTAGGTACCAAGGAGTTAGCCATGGAGAAGCAAGGAGGCAAGGAGAACCGAAAGTGGAAGACATGCGTGAAGACGGAGAGGGAAAGCGCCAAGTCCCAGGCTGGCAGGACGATCCAGACGTGGGCCCGGACGATCCGGACAGAGCCCGGACAATCCGGACCCCGGTCAGGATGATCCGGCTAAATCGCCCCGAAGACACCCGAAGCTCATCCCCGAAACCGGACCATTCGGACGCCGACCCGGATCATCCGGACATCGCCCGGACATCCGGACCCCCAGACGTACATCCGGACCTGCACCGCCACCGCCTGCGTCACCAGCTCATCCGGGCCTCCTTCCGAATCATCCGGCCAGAGCCCAGATCATCCGGCTCCTCACCCGGATCATCCGGACCCCGCCTGCGTGCGCGTGTTGGGCTGATCCCATGTACCCCTTCGCCCCCCTAGACTATATATAGGATTCCTCCTCCTCCTCCTTTTGAGACCTAGTATTGGTTTAGCTCATTTGAGATAGAGCATTGCTCATCCATACAGATCTACTCCTCGTGAGGGGCCGCACCTCTTCGGAGAAGATCCACCCGGATTCAAGACCTCCATCCGGAGAAGACCATCAATACCTCCTCATGGAGAAGAACGACTACCTTTGTATCGTCCCTTGTTGACTTTGGATCTCGTGTTACTTTGTGCCTTGATGATCTAGCACATGTGTGATCATATTCGTGTTGGTTGAGTGTTTTCTCTTGCGTTTCCCCGTGTTTTCCCTCGTTCCCCTCCGCGCGTTCTTCGTGTTCCTCGTAGGGATCCTCTCCAAACGTGAAAGATCGACCCCTAGGGTTCCGCCCTACATCATCTCCCTAATTAGCCTACACACCTTAGGAAACGGAAAAAACTGTGAACTCAAAATCTCGAAGGCAAATGTCAAATGGTGGTAGCGGAATGTGGTGGTGGTTGCAGAGTTGGCAATGCGGAAGTGGAGTTGTTGGGTTATGCGAGTCGGAGTTGAAAGCACCGTCCCTAAGTAGGCGAAACACCTTAGGAGACACGACCCACAACTCGAACAAGCTCAAACAAAATTTGGTTAAGTTGGGGTGCCAGAAGTGTATGGAGGGCAAGGTTATGCGGAAGTTATGGTGGTGGTTGATGAAGAAGTAACCGTCCCTACGTAGCCAAAACACCTTAGGAGACTCGAATCACTACTCAAGCAACCACTAATGCTATGGGGAACAAAATGGGTTAGGTTGCGGAAGTCGGTGGTGGTATAGCAGATGATGTGGTGGAGGATCTAGGCAAAGATGCCAAAGTTCCAAAAATTTGATGGAGTCAAATGATGTTAGAACCTATTTATATGGAGGGGGATGTCAGTGGCTATCCAACGAGCTAAAGAATGTCAAAATCGGAGTCTGGATGAATTAGTTATGAACAAAATGGTCAATCAGCCGAGGGTGAAACTGGGAGGGGCGGTTGTACCGCTTGTGAGGGCGGTTGTACCGCTCCTGGAGAGTCCCGGGGTTCCAGTTTTGGGCTGGCAGAAGTATCAGGGGATGGGGGAGCGATTGTACCTCCTTAGAGGCCGGTTGTACCACTTTTGTCGGAAATTTTTCCAAATCTGAGTACGAGATGGACTTGGGGTGGAAATGGATGATTTCAGGGGAAAAAATGCGAAGATTTCGTGGATAAAAGATGGGGAAACTCGAGGAGATGCTAGACCCACTCGAAACAAGCAAATCCATGGATCAAAATCAACAAAACATCATCAAACCAACAAATAACAAAAAAATCTGGGGGCTATTTTGGTGGGGATTTTTGAATTTAGGACGAAATCAACAAAACAAGGCTAGAAAGTGTGTGTGTGTGGGGGGGGGGGTAGGGACTCCAAATTCATGATCAACCTTGGCTCATGATACCAAGATGATGTAGGGTGGAAACCCTAGGGCCGATCTTTCACGATTGGAGCGGATCCTACGAAGAACACGAGGGGAAACACGAGAGAAATCACTCAAACCAACAAGATTCGATTACACATGTGCTAGATCCTCGAAACACAAAGAGATACACGATCCACGATCAACAAAGGACGATACAAGTAGCAAGTTCTTCTCCGTGAGGAGGTCTTGAGGGGGTCTTTCCATGAGGGGTCATGAATCCACATGGGGGATCTTCTCCGAAGAGGTCATGAACTCCAATGTAGAAGGGTATCAAGTGGATGAGCAAAGCTCTATCTCTCAAATGAGCTAATCCTTTGCTAACCCTAATTCGGAGGTAGGAGATGAGTATTTATAGTCCAATGGGTAAGTTGGGGGTTACACGGGTTGTTGACTTTTTTACTGCGCGCATGTAGAGCGGTAGTACCGGTCATGGGAGCAGTTGTACCGCCTGAAGCTCTTGGTTCCTGGAGGTGTCCCTGGAAGTCATTAGCGGTTGTACCGGTGGTTGAAGCGGTTGTACCAGTCATACGACTGTTACGGGGACAAACCGGGGCGGTACCGACCTTGCACCGCTCGATTACAGAAGTTGGATCGGTAGTTGGGCGGTAGTCGAGCGGTTGTACCGTTCGGGCGGTAGTTGGGTGGTACATGGGCGGTTGTACCTCTATCTCTGCGCTGGGAAAATCCCTCTCCATGCTCTTGGTGTCCATCTTGCACCATTCCTTCTCCTTGTTGGTTCCTTGGTACCTAAGCACACAAAATGTCTTTGTTTGAGGTAGTAGCCATGTCTCATGTGGGTCCAAGGAAAGTTTAACAAGAAGATACTTCACCTTATGTCCAATGACACATGCCCGAGCTCTCATCGTAGGTGCATTTGGGACTTGGGGAGTAGTTGAAGTGTACATGGGGATGACCGTAGGATGCTCCGCATCAATCTTTCATTGGGTTCAAATCATAGAGCCTTTGTTTGCATCTCTCTTGATAGTACAATTGTCCTATAGTCAACAGGCATCTCGGCGAAGCACACAACAGACCATCCCGGCGCCATTCTGTTCCAAGCACCAGGATGACCATCGACACGCCTGCAATTCAACCATCTTCCAAGGAGTTGGTCAGCCCAGGTGGGGAATGACGGGATCCAAGAGCAGCATGCGGGGCAACCTTGGGCCAAGCTTTAGTGCATCGGAGGAGGGCGGCGATAGGATTCCAATTAATTAGCAAGAACAAAAATATCTATTTACTCGATGATGGGCCTAGCAGGACACGTGGTGGCTGCCAGTGCCAATTGGCCATATGCGTGCAGGGCTCCCAACAGAGGAGAGCGAAAAATTGAGTGCTGACCGGAAGATGAGGTGGAATCCACCGCCTCCCCGCCTCCAAAACCCTATTGCGCGGAGCACAAAACCCACACAAGACACGCGCAACAGGAAGGCGCCCTCCCCTCCTCACCCACCCCAATCCCACCTCCCGGACAGGGCCGCAACAAAAGCAGCCTCCAGCGCTGGCATTCTTGTTTTGCCGCTGCGGTTTCGCTATCTCCCCACCGCTTCCCGGCCACCTCAGACCCCGAGCCGCCCCCTCCCCCCACCCCATATGGCGCCGCCTTCCCGCCCCGTAGCCGTCCTCGCATGGTGACGCCTCCTCGCTCGCCCCCTCCGGCCGCTCTGTCCCTGAGATGTGGCGCCTGATTTCGTTGGGTTTTGCAGGGGTTCGGGGGAAGACGGGCAGCTGGGCATGGGCCGATGCGACGAGAAGGACTGGGCCCGCTGCATCGGCGCTCTGGATGCGTACGCCGTCTCCGCCGTCGTAGCCGGCAGCCGCAACTCCCTCGCCATATGCAACGACGGCAGCGTACGCTTCCATTGCCCGCTTCCTCCTTGCACTCCTTTCCTTTCTATACAGTACAGTGTTTGTTTTGATGTGGTTTCTCGCTGGCGGCCGCCGTTTCTCTGCAGCTCTTCACTTGGGGGTGGAATCAGCGGGGAACGCTCGGGCACCCGCCGGAGACCAAGACAGAGAGCTCCCCGGCGCATGTCGACGCCCTCATCGGGGTCAAGATCGTGCAGGTGAGCGCAGGATCACTCTTTTGAAATCACTCTTTTGAAATGCGATTCGCTTCTTTTGTAATGCGTGTGTCATTGGGTTTTGGTGCCAGGCAGCGATCGGCGGGTGGCATTGCCTCGCGGTGGACGACAAGGGGCGGGCTTACGCTTGGGGTAAGGGGACTCGGTTTCTTGGGTGTTTTTTTCTTTTCGGAATTGGTTGATTACATGACATGTGCGCCCATGTTCCAGGGGGCAACGAATATGGACAGTGCGGGGAGGAGCCTGAGAGGAAGGAAGATGGCACAAGGGCACTCAGGAGGGACATCCCCATCCCACAGCGATGCGCTCTCAAGCTCAAAGTTCGGCAAGTGAGTGGAATGGAATCAGATTCCTATCATGTACTACTTCCACCAGTCCCAATGTTCTTGGGATTTTAGTCATTTTTATGCATGTTTTAAGGATTGGGACTAGCAATTTTTTGCATCTTAGTGTCAACATCAGCAATATGCTTGTTGCCAACATGTGTTAGGCTGGGAGAACACATAGGATAACTTTTTGTTAGAACTGTTACAGTATGTCATGTCCAAATGAAATACTGATGTTCTAGTAAAATGATGCTAAAACTTTTCAGTCCTTCACTCCTGCTCTCCATTCAACATCATTAACTTCTGGTTTACTGTTTTCTTTCATTGACTCTAGGTAGCTGCGGGGGGGACTCACTCAGTGGTTTTGACACAAGAAGGCCATGTCTGGACATGGGGACAACCGTGGCCTCCGGGTGATATGTATGGCGCCTGTGACTTCAACTGAAATCATCAACCATTTTTATATTTTTGGTGTGTTTGTCCTCGTATCATAGTATTGACGATGTTAGTCTTCTTTTCAGCAAAAAAATATCTACGCCAGTACGTGTGCAAGGGCTTGAACAAGTGAGCATGATTGCTGTAGGGGCATTCCATAATTTGGCACTGTCAGTAGACGGAATCTTGTGGGCATGGGGTAATAATGAATATGGCCAGCTGGGGATTGGAGATACCCAACCGAGATCACAACCTATCCGTGTTGAAGGGCTATCTAACCTCTCATTGGTGAGCCACACTGGATTGTTGCTTCTTATTTCCGACATCCTTTCTAAATCAAGTTGAACATTAATGAGGTGTATGAAGATGTTACCTAACAAGCCTGGTTCATGGCTTGGTTAGACTCTAGCTGAGCAAAAGAAAAAAAAAGGTTGGTCCATTGGATCCCAGGTTAATTCATGTTGACCCGCAGTAAGTTAAGCATATAGCACCTCTGGTACTGATCGTTGAATTTATGCCATTTTTGTGGAACTTACATTTGTTCGATGTTGCCTATGTAAACAATTTCATATTGATTATGGCCTACCAGGCTACCACTAGATGCTGATAAATCACAAATACTTTTGCACACATATTTTTCCTTACCAGGCCTATGAATCCTAAAAGTCCTGTTTCTGTTTCTTGTTTATTGTTTTATATTTTCCACGTCTATTTGCAGGTTGACATTGCTGCTGGAGGTTGGCATTCAGCCGCATTAACTAAAGAAGGAGAGGTATTTCCTTTTTTCTTTCTTTCTGTAAACTGGTTTATCATCATATGATAAAATTTATTTACTCTAACCGAACCGCCGGTGCATAACGGAAGGATAAAGCATTCTGATAATGTCAAGAGAGATCGGGGTAGACCAAACTTCACATGGGTGGGTCCGTAAAGAGAGGCCTGAAAGACTGGAATAACACCAAAGAACCAGCCATGGACATGGGTGCGTGGAAGTTAACTACCCACGTGTCAGAACCATGTTTCGAGATCTTATGGGTTTCAACTCTACCCTATGCCAATTTGTTTGGGACTGAAAGGCTTTGTTGTTCTCTGACCGAACGGCCAGTTTTGACACAGTTCTATTTCATTTTATTTTGATGAAAGACGACACGGCTATAGGGAGCAACAAACTGTTCTCGCGTACTAGTTCTCGCGTACTAGGATTATTCATGAAGGGTGTTGTCCACTGTTGGCTGGTGTGTGTGTGTGTGTGTGTGTGTGTGTGTGTGTGTGTGTTAGTTACCTGGCCCATGTGGCCCATATACATTAGCATGCAAAGCAAGAGAGAAGAATAGAGAAGGTTGACTGATTCTAGATATTTCCTGAACGACAAGATTGTGTCAGAGCACAGGTGGGAGAAGATGTTGGGTTCTGCAGGTCGCCCGTGGTGAATCAGCAGCATGGGGTGGAGCTCCGGGCGCCCAGGGTGTCAGCGCAGCGGGGAACAAGCTCTGGGAAAAGGCCAACAGGCCCAGGCGGAGTAGTTGTGCGGGAATGGAGCCGGCGGCCGGCAGTGTGAGAGAGTGGGTCTGCCGGAGGAGACGGCAGCACTTGTCTTGGCAGTTGGCAGCGATGCTAGGTCCTGGTGGTCGGATGGAAGCAAGAGTAGGAAGTACGGAGGTGGCGGCGACCGAGAGGATGAAGCTGCAGCAAAGCCGGTGGAGAAAGAGGAACCATCGAGAGTTGTGATTGGTACAGTTCCATGTCGTATGAGTGAGGAAAGATTCAAAAAGGCAAACGAGGAAGAAACTTTGAGGGTGTATACAAGAAGAAAACCTATGAGTGAAGAGAGATGGAGAAAGCCAAATGAGGAGTCAAATTTAGTGGCGTATGCAAGGAGAAAATTGCAACATGAACAATAAATTCCAGTAGTTGGCGAGGTCCAATTGCAGGGGGAGCAACATCAGCGACATCAGATTCCAGTACTTGATGAAGTGGACTCATCTAAGAGTCAGTTGCGTGTCATAGATGATTGAATGAATGTGCCTATTGCCTTGAGGAAAGAACCATGAGCTGGGGCAGGAAATCCTCTTGGAAGGTACGGTTTTGAGCATGATACTGAAAAGTGAAAACTATGCGTCATATGACTCACCGTCACCTAGGTATAGAGCCTTCATTGCCTCCTAACAATCGTTGGTAATCCCAACCGATTGGAGAGCAGCAACGCAAGATCCTGAGTGGGATGAAGCGGTGATGGAGATGCCAGCCCTTTAGAAGAACTAGATGATACCCCGCGCGTTGCTGCGGTAAATTATGGTTATAAATTGATTAAAATAAAAAATAAAACATGACTACATAAAATGGATAGCTCTTGGTTGTGGATGGCAACGGGAATAATAAGTGAACAATTGTACGGAGCCTCTTAATGTGAAAACAAATGGCATTGATAATGTGTTATTGTTGTGGAGTTCAACTGCAAGCACCAATATACTACATCTAAATATGCCAAAATATTTATACATTAAAACTACATCTAAATATGCCAAAATATTTATACTGCAAGGAATTCAAGGCAAGAAAATCAAGTTGATACATGAGAAACACAGCCAAATAAGACTCTCGCTGACAAATTAATTGAACATTTTTTAGTTTGCTCCTTTGGTCGGAGGCGCTAGGACCCTGTAAATATAACCTCCTAGGAGGCATGTGCTCTCTCTCACCTTTTCAATGCAATGAAACGCAAAAATCACTTTGCGTTTTCTCGAAAAAAGTTTGCTCCTTTGGATGTTGCCTACCATGTCTTTGCTTTTCTGCTTTGTTGTACTAACTTCCTGCGTAGAAAACAACTTGACAATGAGAAAGAAGCACAGCCTCTAATGTATATTTACATGTATGGTTATAGAAATCATGCTAGTACATTATTTTATAGCTTTCTTACATGAAACAATAATAATGTTTAAATCACAAGAGTAAAAAAATTGACTAAAACATAACATATGTAGAAACAACATGACGGACATGGGATTATTCTTTTGATTACCTTATAAAGATTACACTGGTCCACCTTACTTGCAGCCTGATTGAATTGAATTTTCATTAACTACCTTGTTTGACATGACAAAACAAAATCTGCACAAACAACATGAGAATGGGTTACTTCATTTTAGTAGACGTATGCAGCACCAAGATGTTGGTATTACTAATTAAATCAAAACAAATAGTCAAAGAATAATCAAATTTTAAATAAGCAGCAGCAACACAAATCATCCAAACAAATCTATATCCAACCAGCAAAAACAATTAGTGTGTGACAATGCCTACAACGCGGACGATGGCTGGATCCTGTGTAAGGGATGGCGACCTGCTCACTCGCCAGTGCAACGGAGAGGACATAGTGCAACGTGTGATAGCTGATAAGGCAGGCAGGTTAATTGTTCAGATAGAATAACATGCAAATTCAGATATTTCAAGCAATTAGGATTCAGAGATCTACTTCACTCGAGATCATCAGATCGTTGATTACCTGGAACGTCCTTGAAGCCACGATGTAGAACCAAAAGTAGTACAGACTCTTTTTTAGTTACGCTGCTCCTTATCTGAAAGCAGTACCTCATGTCCATGTACACTTTCCCATCAGCTTCCATAAACTGCAAACAAAATTCAGACATACATACTCCGGCATAAGATAGATTCACTGGGACAAAATAACTGCACACCATCTCCTTGTAGAAACTATTTTTATGTCTGGTACATGCCGTACGTTATGATCTTTGATTTAGCAGAAGAGGAACCCGGTGCAAAGTTACCAGTTGGAGTGGTCTATTCTTCAGCCTTAAATGTGTATAAGGCTCCTGCCAAGGTTGAATGTCCTAATTACAAAACGAAATAGGGATATTATTTACAGATAACATATAATCTAGCTTGCAGTCAATGAACTAATTTCTTACTGAACAATCCTGAGTAGGCGGAAGGAAGGAGAGGAAGTAGGAGCAGGTACCATGGCCTTTTTCTTGCGAACAGCGACGGATCATCTCCGCCTTGGCCTCATGGCCAGATGCTGACGGATCACATGGTATTGGATGCTATGTCCCCACAAGGTTTAGGTGGGACAGCTCGACAGCGGCGGCGGCGGCGTGGAGGAGCGCCAGCAGGTCCACCTCCACGACCAGTGTCTCACCGTAGGTGAGGTGGTGCTCGGTGAGGTGTTGTTCCAATGTGTCGCATGCGCTCGGGAGGAAGAAGATGCAGCCGCCTCGTGGTGGCGGCATGGTCTCCAATTCGTCTGTCACCGAAAGGAGATGAGCAATAAAATCCCTCGATAGGTGATGTTCGCATGCTGCCATCTGTTTCATGTGTGTTTATGATGGGAAATCTAGGGATTGGCAGGGAGGGATGGAAGGAGAAGAGGACGACGCATCAATTGGGGAAGTTGAACAGCAAAGGATATGAGTGTTCTTGGAAGGCGAGGAGACGATGGAGTCAACAGCAGGGGAGTGGGGCACGGGGGAATCAACACTTGCGCTGCAGATCTGAGCCACCTGTGGTCAATCAAACGGTTGGAAAAAAATATGATGAGGTGGCTGCACGAGAGCACAGAGAAATCAGCTAGTGGGGATCATCTATTTAGATATAGTAGATAATACATGGGAGCTTGTAGAGCTTCCAAAAGGGAAAAGGCAGTTAATTGCAAATGGGTCTACACCGTGAAGCAAGAGTCAAATGGTAAGATGGAGAGACATAAGGCCAGACTTGTTGCAAAGGGTTATAGCCAAACCTATGGAATTGACTATGATGAGACCATTGCACCTGTGGCAAAGAGGAGTACCCTGAAAACTTTGATATCACGTGCAGTAAATTTGGGTTGGCCTTCATACCAGCTGGATGTGAAAAATGCATTTTTTTTGCATGGTGATCTTCATGAGGAAGTGTACATGGAAATTCCACCTGGTTTTGGTACATCTCAAACTCATTGAAAGTTCCTTAGGATGAGAAAGTCATTATATGGGCTTAAGCAATCTCCATGGGCATGGTTTGATCAATTTCATTGTGCTATGTGTGGTATGGGATAGTTATAGCGCAACTCCGGCAGGCATATCACAGTTCTTGCAGTATATGTGGATGATATCATTATTATAAGGGGTGATACTGTTGAGATATCACAATTAAAGCAGACGTTAAGCAAAGAGTTTGAGATTAAGGACCTTGGCCAACAAAGGTATTTTCTAGGCAGTGGAAACTGCAACGTCCTTGAAAGGATAGTTCTCTTGCAGCTGAAGTATGTCTTGGACCTTCTTAGTGGTGCATGGATACTTGGGTGTCGAGCTGCTTCAACTCCTATCGAGCCAAATCATCAATCGTATGCACGATCTGGAAGTCCAATTGTAGGGAGAGCTACAAATGGCTTGTAGTCTGGCTCATCTATTTGTGCCACATGATACCTGACATCCTATGCAGTGAGTGTGGTCATCCGCTACATGCGTGGCCCAAGAAATCAGCACACTGTATATTGCCCTATCTAAAAGGGAGTCATGGAAGAGGTCTATTGTTTTTTTGATAAAGGGCGCTTTTATTAACTCAAAATGTAGCATCGAGCGGATACAAAACATAAAGAGCGACACCCCGCCTCTGCATAGCTAAGATGCACACAACCATCAAACAAACAGTCTGACAAAAAAAATAATATAAAAACGACAAAGTGGCAACAGTAAAGCCATATGGGGCCGAAACTATGCCTATGTCGACGGAGAAGGTGGATCGACGGAGAAGGTGGATCGATTCGGAGATTATGCTGCC